GGTAGAAATGACTCAGCCTGGAACTGAAAATATGGATGGAGGACAACAGAGCTGCTTCATGGAAGAAGAACCTCAGCTTAGCCTGTTAGCTTTAGCGCCTTCGCTATTGCCTTATATGTAATGTAATTGTCTGCATAAGATAAGGTGATGTTTGTGATCATGTTGTTTTGATGAAAGAAAATGACCACATGATCACATGATCTTGTACCAGGTTATGGAATAATTACATGTAATACCCACTGAACACATGTACATGTACAGTACATTACATGTACATGTTAGTTGGATTGATTGCTTGTCCACGGCCACTTCACGTGTTTGTTAACTCTTGGTTATGATCCACTCAAAAATTAGATATTTTTGTTTTGACGTTAGAACATGAAAGGGTTATTTATTTTAAAAACTCCTTGGCATGTGTGTAAAACACCATCTAAACTTTTAATTTTATGTGACAGATCGTATTTTAACCCTCACATTTCCTTGAGCAAAGGACACAAATTTTGTGAATTTCCAACTGTCCCTGCTCACTGGAGCGTGAAGAGTTTAAGATTTTGGTGTCATTCGAAGCAGAATGATCCCCTCTACCAAAGGTTACGCCCACATTTTCAAAATTATCATCTATGTTAATTTTATGGTGATTTTTCTGAGAGTATCATTTTTTCTGATACACCCTGTATATGTTTATCAAATCAAGTCTAATGTTGTAATTAATCATGGATCCCTTTAAATATTTTACCTTAGTGAAGAGAAAAAACACTTTAAACATACACTAACATGCTGCCTAATATTAATTTCATTTGTTTACTGTAACTTCCACTGATAACCTTCAGCTAAAATAGCAAAATAAAGCTATTTATTAAAGAAAATGATGAGTTAAAGTATGTTTTCTTTTCAGATGTGTCACATCAGGTCACTTGTGTTTCATCTGTCCAATCTGAATTTCTATCCATATTTATCAAATTTTATATATAACACTGCTGATCGTTGACTGACAGTGACAACTGATAATTGTTTGCCTGACAGGTCATAATTTAGGGGCATTTAAAAGCTTCAAAGATATCCTGTACTCCTACATAGTTTTCCTAGCAAACATATAAGTTCTATTCACCAATAGGCAAAGTGAAGAGGTTGTTTGGTCTAAAGAAATACGGGAAGAAAGGCTAAATATCTGAATATGTTGTTCACCCTAAGACACCATATTTGTGACCCATCATATCGAAATGAGGATTAAGTCAAATTTGGTCAAAATGACCTAATTACATTTTCAAATTCCTGGCT